CAAAAACCAAGGAAACCTATTTCAAATCAACAAAGGCGCTAGATTGAGGTAATGGTGATGTTATCTCTGTTAAATTACCATACATCTGAGTATGAAGTATTGCAAATCACAGTCCCAATCAAATTTTTGCAGATTATTAACAAAGGTTTGGATTTTAACTCCTTAACATTCTTTGCAACAGGAATTCTGTTCAAGGCCCTTCACAATCGCGAAAGCAAATAAATGGGGCCGTCGTTGGCCCCCGAGGGGAGGCAGCAACTTATTGCTGCTGACATGAAACGCAAAGCTGGAAATAGAAAATAGGAACAATACCCCACACAGGTTAAAATGGTTGATTTCATATTCTTTTTTTTTTTAAAAAAAAAAACTTATAATTTTTTTCTTAAAATTTATTAGAAGGGAGAGAAAAGTTTTTTAAATACCCTTTTTTTCCTTGGTTCTTTTGTATTGTTTATAGTACGGTCAGAAGGCAGCAATAATTCCAGTTGCTTGATGTTGTCTTTCTTGCCTGTTTGTTTGTTTGTTTTTGTTATTTTTTTTTTCAAGGCCTCTTGGTAATGTTAATGTATAATTCCACTACTCAGCAGTACATACAGTTCAGATAATGTATAACTAAAACTTTTTTAGTTGAGTCTTGTATTTTAAGTCAATCTTTTTTAAGATCGTATGTCTCAATTTTTATTCAATCATAATTACCTTGAACGAAGCTTAGTGATATTCTATTAACACTTAAATCTTTGAGGATTGAAAGATTAAATAGATGCATTAAATAATTGTTAATTGTGATTTAATTTAAATATTTTATAATAAAAGAGTATTTAAATAATATCAATTTAGTTTATTGCTTTTTATTTTATTTACAAAGATTACGAAAATGATAGGTAAAAAATTCATATAATGAAGAATTTAATAATTCATAACATGAGTAATTTATTAAAGTCAGAGATAAATAAGATTAAACTTTTGAGAAGTAAAAGAAAAGAAATCAAATAGAAATACATTTAATTTATTATAAATTTTATGAACTTATTAATATTAATATTTACATAATTTTTGAAGCACATGCAGACAAATGCGTGCTAAACGCAACCGCACGAAGCAAAAAACGCATACCACATATTAAAAAATTATTATTATTATTATTTTTTAAAAAAAATGCTCACCCAAATGACACGGTCCACATCCTTGAAACCCCTGGGGGTTATCTACCACAGTAGTATTCCATTAACAAAAGAACCCTCTGGAACCTCCTCAAGTCTTCGAAAACTACCTGACATGACCCACTTCTTTTGTATCTCTTTTTCAATTTTTGCAGAAATTAATGTTTGCATATGTAATGCTGATATATATATATATATAGCTCTTACGATATTTAAATCACAATAGAAATCACATGCCTGTCTATTTTATTTTCAACTATTAATTTACTTGAAGAAATTAAAATGCTCTAAAACCAGAAACTAGAAAAGCCAATACAGCCAACCAACGCAATTTGTGCTCTGTTCGATCTTGTTCTCGTTGTTGCCGGAGAAAATGTCCGGTGACGGATCTTGCTATTACTCTGTGCTTGGCTTATGCAAGCAGGCTTCAGCCTCTGAGATTCGTGACGCCTACCGCAAGCTCGCTCTGGTAGTGAATTAGCTTTTAGCCTTCTTGTTTTTTTTTTTATTAGTTTCCTGTTTTGAATTCTTCCATTAATGTATTAATTTGCTTATTGACGAGCTCTGGATTTTGATTTTTCCACACGAATTTAAAAGAAATGGCATCCAGACAGGTGGACGACGAAAGATCCCACAGTTTCCGGAGAAGCAAAGAGAAAATTTCAGCAAATTCAAGAGGCTTATTCAGGTGCGTGCGTGTGTGTGTGTGTGTGTGTACATATATAATAATGTATAAGTTTATTCGATTAATTTCCATTTCCAATTTAGTTTTTGGGTTTCTTGGCTGCTTGAATTTTCCAGTAAAGCATGTGAATTATGATTAGCATTTGCTTTGTTTTAATTTTGGCAGTCCTATCTGATAACCGGAAGAGACGAGTGTATGATTCTGGATTGATAGGGTTTCTCGAAGATGATGTAGATCAAGTGAGTTTCTCTCCTTTTGGTTGATAATTCGAATTATTCCATCTTCTTCTTTGTTATAAGTTATAAACTTGTATAAATGAATGTGTATATATATATATATATATATATATACGCACACATTAAGGAGTTGAATGATGGAAAACAGGGTTTTCTTGATTTCATGCAAGAAATGATCGTGATGATGGAAAGTGTGAGACAACAGGTATAATTTGTTATTTAATTTGTTAAGCAACTTATTGTTTTTCTTTGGCCGGATAATATGTATTTTTATTATTAATTGTTTATTAGTTTGAAATAATAATTTAAATTAGTTTTGTTTTGCCGAACAGGAGAACACACTCTCCAATCTTCAAGATTTGTTAATGGAGATGGTGGGGGAAGAAAAGATCAATTTTGAATATGATGATTGGAGGGGTACTACTTCTCAAAATCCCAGAAAAAAGAAACGTTTTTGTTAAATCTAATCTTTTTAATAAAAATTTCTTGTCATTAGTTTGATATGTATTAATTAGGGTTTGTGGCCAAGTTTTTAGCTTCATTCATTCTTCTACAAACTCCAATCTTGCAGGTTTGGTTTGGGAGAAATTCCCTTCATCTTAATTATGTTATATACTCAGCTAGTTTATAATTGAAGATGAAAACTTCAAGTAAACAATACCTAATTTTGTTCGAGGAGTGATTAAATAAAGACTTTGAAAGGGTGTAGAAGAATGTAAGAAAAGAAGTAACTCTGAGGAGTGATAAGAAGAGAATATGAAAGGAAGAGAAGAAGAGTGGAAGCACTTTGGGGGCAGGCAAACCAATTGTTTTGCTTCTTAAGTCAAAACTTTACTTGTTTGGCTGGCTGCAATGTAGTTTTACGAGAATTTTACCACACACTCACACTCACACTCACACTCACACACGCATGTATAATATATGGAAAGTTGGATTCATTTTCTTTGGCAATTCTTTTGGTCCACATTTCATTTAAGTGGGTTTATGTAATTTTTACACTAAAGTTTTGATAGGGACTCAATCACTTGGCCAATGTGATTTGTGGTTCCCGATTGATGCTCTCTTGTTCTACTCTCACTTAAATTTTTTAAAATAAAATTAATTAAATACAATGTTAAATAAGCTCGAGTTAATTCGAGCTTATTTGACTTCGAGTTCAAACAAACCAAACTCGAATTTGAAAAATTGTTCCAAATCAAGTTTAAAGCTAAACTACAAGTACGATCAAGTTTAAAAAATTAAACCCAAATATTTACTAGGCTCGATTTAGTTTACTACCCTTATTTTAGAGGTGAGGAGAAATAAGAAGTAAACAACCATTTATTTCTTATTTGAATGTGAAAAATAGAGAATAAATTATGTAGGAAATGTATTCAATTGATAAGTACCTTAGACGATACATTTTTAAACAAACTATGCATTTAATTCTGGATTATATATATTTGAAAAAATAAAATAAGTTCCTTATTTAAAAAAAAAAAAGCTCAAATTCTTAAAATTTAAAATTTTTCGTTGGACCTAAAAGCCACAAACATCTTGCTGAGCCCCCATTATCATAAACCTGTAGCCCTACAAAGACCATCCATTTTATCTTTAAGCTTTATGACCATGTGTGGAACAACTTAACTTTTTTTTTTAAAAAAAAAAATAAAATTATTTATGAATTTATATTTAATTTAACATAAAATTATTTTGTTTGAAAATTAAAAAAAAAAAAAAGTTTTTTTAAATTAAATTTCATGTGAAATTACAAAATTCCCAAATGAAAATAAAAAAAGTAAGCCGAGGATCCAAAAGAAATCAAAAGCCCAGCCCATACAAACAAATAGGTCTTGTGTCTTCGTCTCCGTCGCGCCCGTCGTCCCAACTCTCCTCTTTCTCTCTTTACTCTCGCACATGTCCCACTGACCGCCATTGCACCTCACCTCCACCACCTGGTCACCCAAACTCATCACAGCCGGCCATCACTGCCTAGCTGTTTTCTTGTTAGCCGCTACTCGAGCAGATATCTCAATCTCGTTGTAGCAGCTGGTCCAGACCTCGTAGAATTTTCTGGACGATTGGCTGGTAATTTTCGTTTATTTGATCTTTTGTCTATTGTAAGATTAGCTAGGCTTTTCGAACTAATATATGTTGTTTTAATTGGGGCTAATCGTTTACTTTTTTGGGTAAAAATCCGATACTAGCTGTAGTAGAGAGTCGACCCGTTTCTGGGAAGATAGAGCTTGGTTTTTAATTTAGGGTTTTTGTCGCGTTGCGACTGGTATCCTGATTTGATACGAAATAAGAAACCGGTGACCCTGTGAAATTGCTGCAACTTCCAGTCACTTGTATTATATAAGCCTCCTGTTATTGATTGATTGTGAAGGCAAACCGTATATTGTAAGAATGGAGAGTGGTGGTGCTAATGGAGATTCAATAGAGAAACTTAGAGGCCTTCAAATATCTCCATCCGACGATGAAGATGAAGAAGAACAAAAACCAGAGGCAATTACAATAGATGAAAATGATTATGATGATGAAGACGATGATGACGAAGACGACGAGCCAGAACCCATAATACTTGGATTCCTAGAAAAGCCAAAGAATCGCTGGTCACTTCTTCGCCAATTATTTCCCAGCAAAGCAGGAGGCGTGCCAGTATTCACTTTCCTTTGAGACTCTGTTTCTTATCGATATATTTTTGCCGGAAACTTGGTTGTCATTTTCTGTAATTGTTAATGTAGGCATGGTTGGATCCAGTTAATTTACCGTCAGGGAGATCCTGTTTGTGTGATTTCTGTGGCGAACCTCTGCAATTTTTACTTCAGGTAGAATAAGGCTCATCAGTATTATTTTCTGGGCATTATGAACAGTTTTTGTCATTTCAAGTTCCTTTCTTTTCTTGTCTATCTGATGTTCGAATGAAACTTGAGGGCTCTAATTTGCACCCTCATCCATTGTAGAAGTGTTTTGTTAGATTTTGTTTAAAGGATAATCTTAGTCATCACTGAATGCATAGGTTTACGCCCCAATCTCAGACAAGGAGTCAGCATTTCATCGAACATTATTTGTATTCATGTGCCCATCGATGTCTTGTCTTCTCCGCGACCAGCATGAGCAATGGAAACGCCATGAGAAGGCATCCCGAAGGTAGTGGTTAGGTGTTCTTTCAGTTTTTGGAAGAAAAAACTTTTGACAAATCTTTTCTAATTCCTTTTACTTGGCTTTTCTTTCTTATCCCCCAATGATTTCTGAAGTGTGAAGGTTTTCCAGAGCCAATTGCCTCATGATAATCCTTTTTACTCGTGTGAGGCTCCAAAGCATAATGGGAATGATAAACCTCTTGGTCGTGGAGGTATAAAAATTTTGACTGCCAACCTGTAGATATAGAAAGTTATTTTTGGGTTATTATTGGTAGTTTTTTCTTTTGGCTAACTTATCATACTTAGTTCTGTTATTGAGCATCTTTACTTGTTGACTTGATGTTTACTGCTGATTGAATCACACATTTGTTGACATGCGTTCTTTCTTGTTTGCTTGTTGTAGCAACACTCTGTAGTTGGTGTGGTACCTGGAAAGGAGACAAAACTTGTAGCAGGTGTAAAAGAGCCCATTACTGCTCACAGAAACACCAAGTGAGTTTACTTTTTTGTTATTTTCAGCTTTCTTGGAAATTATGCTCAATATTTTCAGTTCCCTAGTATAATGTGAACTTATTTTTCAGGTATTGCACTGGCGAAGAGGTCATAAAAGTGAATGTCAAGGGCTGAGCTTTTCTTCCCTGTCATCAGAATCTGAATCCTTTAGTGGTGGGGCTGGATCATCAGAAATACTGCAAGGCAAGTAAATAGATGATTCTTCTGTGGATTCGTATCTGGAAGAAATCTAGTTACATATGCATTATTGGACATGAGCCTATAGTTTCATTTCCTGTTTATGGAATATTAATTGGGTCTTAAATGGCACCAATTGTTATGAATCAGATTATCTGATACCTGGATAAATTAGTATAATGTATCTCATCCCTGGATGAAGGGAAAAAAGTAATTGATGAGTTATACACTTGCATTTGGACTTGATCACAAATTCATGAGATTCTCTGATTGAACTTTTTTAATTTTCTATCAGCTGCCTGCAACAGTCTGTGGCCAGAGTTTGAGATGATAAATGAAGATGAAAGTGAATATGACATGGAGATGTTGGAGGATGATGGATGTGCTAATTCATTAATATCCAGGGGGGGAGTGGATGATACTGTGAAGTCACTTTTGGACTCTTTTGAGGTACTGAAGTTTGCATACGGTGATCAATAGTAGTGATGTTTTGCTGAATTTCTGACAAGATATGTAGCATCTTGTGGACAGGGAGATGGGGACAGAAAAAGTTGGGCATCTTTCCAAGAACGAATAGCCAAGGCCCCTGAACAAGTTTTGAGGTGATAGGATCCTCATTTTAACGTGGAAATCTTTCGTGAGCATTTACCTTTGTTCATCTAGCATTTTATGAAAACAGGAAATGATTATTTGAACATTCACATTACTAAGGCTATGCAAGTAACCACATGTGGGATTCTCAATGAAGGGTATATGTA